GTCAGGAGAGCAGGATAAAAGCCTAATAAAAACACATCTGATTATAAATGAGATTTTCCAGTAAGTTGCTTTTCACTAGCCAAGGTATTTGCCATTGTCCTTGAAATCCAAGGTTGGCAATGATCTGCTTGAAAAGTTAATGAGACAGTTCCTCATGACAGAGGCATCTGGATCCAGGGAGCATTATAACTTTGTGGATTTTCAAATGTTCATTTTAGCAGTCCCAGGTTTTTAAAAAGTGCTCCTAACAGTTCCATATGCGTTGATTTTGACTCTGTATAGTCTAGACACAAATAGATGCTAAAAGGGGCAATGGTATGGACCAGTTCCTTTCTCAAAAGTACAGTGAATTCCACATCATTGCTTTGTCATGAACATCACTAAGGAGGAGGTCGGAACTACCACCAAAGCCGAGGACCACGAGTCTGGTCTGTGCCACGCGCAGCTCTGGGGAGCATCTCCTTGTTGATGGAAACCGCTGCCTGGTTCAGTACAGCAGCTGTGCTGCTGCCACATCTCTGTCCAGACGCTCACAGCAGGCAAGGCTATTCTGCCCCCAAGGCTCATGCCACCCACAGTTTATAAAGATTATCACACAGGCCACAGCAGGGAAGCTGGGGGCCTGGAATCTACCTAGATTTATTCATAACTGCCCTGGGATCCTGGGGAAATCACTTCACCTTCCTTCACCTTGAGTTTCCTGACCTATAAATCAGAGAATTACAGCAGCCTTTTTCAAAGGTTACACATGCCCTTAACAATCTATATTTATAAAGAAAACTCAAATTAAACATAGGAATCATTCTATGACCTAGCAATTTTGCTATACATTAGTGTATGAAGTGAAGCGGAAGTGTTAGTCATTCAGTCGTGTCTGACTCTCTGCAACCCCATGGGGTGGACTGCCAGGCTCATCTGTCCATGGAATTCTCCAGGCAAGAATACTAGACTGGGTTGCCATTTCTTTCTCCAGGGGATCTTCCCAACCGAGGGATCAAACCCACGTCCCCTGCGCTGCAGGCAGATTCTTTACTCTCTGAGCCACCAGGGAAGGCCCTTTGCTGCTTGGGGCAACTGTTATTCCAGAAGCTTGTGTTGTGTCCCAGCTCTGCCACTCACCAGCGAGGGCCAGTATACCCAATGCTTCTGAGCTTAATAACAGGAGCTAATCCTTACTCAACAGCTACTGTGTGCCAGGCACTCTGCCAAGTGTTTTACGTAAATCCTCCCACCAATCCCAACTACCCAAAGTCAGTCATGTGGTTAGTAAATGACAGAACCCAGGAAGTCTGCCTGGAACAGTAAGGACCCAGCTGGTGATGGGGACTCCAGACAAGAAACAGGGGAGCCAGTAGCACTCAGCATCTTGTCCTTTGTCCCCCAGACTACAATGAGTCAGACTAAGTGTCCAAGATCCTACTCTGATTTCCACCATAAATGCCATGGTAGTATTCTCCAAAGTGTATTCTTTAAAACACCAGTGCTATGGGATTCTATGGTCAAGTTGAATAGGCTTTTATATCTCGATGTTTTGTAGAGCCTTCAAAAGGCTAATGTGGGTGGTGAATATTCAAGAATCACAGGAAGCATTTCTTAAATCTAGTTGGCCAGAGCACCCCCTTTACATGCAGCACCTCCTAAGACTAGCATTTTGTGGGGTGCACATTGGGAAGCAGTGTGACAGGATCCTTTAAAGAGCCCCTCATTCAGTTCAGTTCAGTCGCTCAGTCGTGTCCGACTCTTTGCGACGCCATGAATCGCAGCACACCAGGCCTTCCTGGCCATCACCAACTCCCGGAGTTTACTCAAACACATGCCCATCAAATCGGTGATGCCATCCAACCATCTCATCCTCTGTCGTCCCCTTCTCCTCCTGCCCCCAATCCCTCCCAGCATCAGGGTCTTTTCCAATGAGTCAACTCTTCACATGAGGTGGCCAAAGGATTGGAGTTTCAGCTTCAGCATCAGTCCTTCCAATGAACACCCAGGACTGATCTGCTTTAGGATGGACTGGTTGGATCTCCTTGCAGTCCAAGAGACTCTCAAGAGTCTTCTCCAACACCACAGTTCAAAAGCATCAATTTTTCGGCATTCAGCTTTCCTAACAGCCCAACTCTCACATCTATACATGACCACTGGAAAAACCATAGCCTTGACCAGACGGACCTTTGTTGGCAAAGGAATGTCTCTGCTTTTTAATATGCTATCTAGGGTGGTAACAACTTTTCTTCCAAGGAGTAAGCGTCTTTTAATTTCATGGCTGCAATCACCATCTGTAGTGATTTTGGAGCCCAAAAAAATAAAGTCTGACACTGTTTCCACTTTCTCCCCATCTATTTCCCAGGAAGTGATGGGACCAGATGCCATGATCTTAGTTTTCTGAATGTTGAACTTAAGCCAATTTTTTCACTCTCCTCTTTCACTTTCATCAAGAGGCTCTTTGGTTCCTCTTCACTTTCTGCCATAGGGTGGTGTCATCTGCATATCTGAGGTTATTGATATTTCTCCCGGCAATCTTGATTCCAGCTTGTGCTTCTTCCAGCCCAGCATTTCTCATGATGTACTCTGCGTATAAGTTAAATAAGCAGGGTGACAATATACAACCTTGATGTACTCCTTTTCCTATTTGGAACCAGTCTGTTGTTCCATGTCCAGTTCTAACTGTTGCTTCCTGACCTGCATACAGGTTTCTCAATAAGCAGGTCAGATGGTCTGGTATGCCCATCTCTTTCAGAATTTTCCACAGTATATTGTGATCCACACAGTCAAAGGCTTTGGTGTAGTCAATAAAGCAGAAATAGATGTTTTTCTGGAACTCTCTTGCTTTTTTGATGATCCAGCTAATGTTGGCAATTTGATCTCTAGTTCCTCTGCCTTTTCTAAAACCAGCTTGAACATCTGGAAGTTCATGGTTCACGTATTGCTGAAGCCTGGCTTGGAGAATTTTGAGCATTACTTTACTAGCATGTGAGATGAGTACAATTGTGTGGTAGTTTGAGCATTCTTTGGCATTGCTTTTCTTAGGGATTGGAATGAAAACTGACCTTTTCCAGTCCTGTGGCCACTGCTGAGTTTTCCAAATTTCCTGGAATGTTGCGTGCAGCACTTTCACAGCCTCATCCTTTAGGATTTGAAATAGCTCAAATGGAATTCCATCACCTCCACTAGCTTTGTTAGTACTGATGCTTTCTAGGGCCCACTTGACTTCACATTCCAGGATGTCTGGCTCTAGGTGAGTGATCACACCATCATGATTATCTGGATTGTGAGGATCTTTTTTGTACAGTTTTTCTGTGTGTTCTTGCCACCTCTTCTTAATATCGTCTGCTTCTGTTAGGTCCATACCATTTCTGTCCTTTATTGAACCCATCTTTGCATGAAATGTTCCCTTGGTATCTCTAATTTTCTTGAAGTGATCTCTAGTCTTTCCCATTCTGTTGCTTTCCTCTATTTCTTTGCACTGATCACTGAGGAAGGCTTTCTTATCTCTCCTTGCTATTCTTTGGAACTCTGCATTCAAATGGGAATATCTTTCCTTTTCTCCTTTGCTTTTCATTTCTCTTCTTTTCACAGCTATTTGTAAGGCCTCCTCAGACAACCATTTTGCCTTTTTGCATTTCTTTTCCATGGGGATGATCTTGATCCCTGTCTCCTGTACAATGTCACAAACCTCCATCCATAGTTCATCAGGCACTCTCTATCAGATCTAGTCCCTTAAATCTATTTCTCACTTCCACTGTATAGTCATAAGGGATTTGATTTAGGTCATACCTGAATGGTCTAGTGGTTTTCCCTACTTTCTTCAGTTTAAGTCTGAATTTGGCAATAAGGAGTTCATACTCTGAGCCACAGTCAGCTCCAGGTCTTGTTTTTGCTGACCATATAGAGCTTCTCCATCTTTGGCTGCAAAGAATATAATCAATCTGATTTCAGTGTTGACCATCTGGTGATGTCCATGTGTAGAGTCTTCTCTTGTGTTGTTGAAGAGGGTGTTTGCTATGACCAGTGCGTTCTCTTAGCAAAAGTCTATTAGCCTTTGCCCTGCTTCATTCCCTACTCCATTGCTGCTGCTGCTGCTAAGTCGCCATTCTCCATTAGAAAGTGCCAAAAATGTGAGATCTTGGGAAATGATTCTTAAAGAACCAAAATGGTGATGTCTTTTTTTCCTTTCTCATTATAAAAATGAAAAATCATAAAACTAGATTAAACAAAAGTTTTGAAAATAGGAATGGCAATCCTATTTTCACAACTTGAGAAGTTTCCCTTCTTTTCTTTTCCATATACACACGTCTCTAAATGCATTTCCACATGCTTATGTATCCGGCACTTAAAATGTGCTGACACTAATGCTAAACACATTGCTTGTCATCTCACTTAATCCTCACAATAACTCTGAGCCAGCAGATAGGACCCTCGAGTTAGAGATTAGGAAATTGAGGTTCAAAGGGTTTAAGTGACTTTCCAAAGTTGCACAGCAAGGAAGTGACTGAGCTGTGGTTTAAACACAGTTATTTCTGACTCCACAGCCTATGTGTTAAAGCCCTGAAATGATGAAATGGTTACTTTTTAACCTCTACAAAAGTATTTGTTCTGAATTTACTACCAGGGAGTTTATATTATCTTGGATGATCATACAGCTCAGTTCTACTTTGAATGATAAAAGAACATTCTGGCACTGTTCCCACTTTTTATGTGTCCTTGCCTCCCTTCTCTGACTTTTTCAGTAAGAGTCACAGGGCTTCACAGCAAGTAATCCCAAATGCAGGACCACACTGATTTCTGTTTTATGGCTCGATAATCTCTTCTGTTGTAAATACATTTGGAAATGATTGTGGCTTTTTGTCAAAGCCTCAACATTTTTTAAAAAGTGGTTTATTTTGATAGCACTTTAGCCTCATGATTTCAAATATTAAATTACTTGGTTGAGGTGGTCTTATATTTTCCCATAAATGTGTTTATATCACCACACAGACTGAGAATTTTCATTTGATTTCATGCAGGAGGAGAACAGAATTCTTCGAACTTGTCAGTAAAGGAGAATATGATTGGAACATCAAAAACCATCGTGATATATTTCGGTAAGAAAAAGCTCTTGTTTGTGTGTTTATTCAGTATTTGAAGATTTACCAATACCTTTTTGACAATGCTAAGAGTGCAAAAGTGATGTTTAAAGTAACAAATCTTAGCTTACATTCAAAACATTCAGAAACTAGTTGAATAATTAGAGAAAAGATAGAGAATATGTCTTTTCATCTTCTGATTTATTTTATATTGCCTCCTCTCCATACATTTGCCTTCAAAATTAGAAGATGTTTGAACTGGTTGTGTTTCAGGAGGTGTGCAAATTGCATTGGAGATGGGATTTTTGAACCTTGGAAAACAGTTACACAGAACAAAAGAAAGTGGAGAGTTACGTTTGGGTTGTTTTGTTTTTAGAGATAGTAGGCATTTTAGATGGAAAACCAATCAAAAGATTTTTGTGCTTGGGATAAGGAATCTGCTCTAGACTTTTCATGGGACTTCTCAGTAGTTTAGGAAAGACAGCAGCAAAATCTCATTTTTCCTCCGCATGTTTTAACCACTTTTCCCCATTGCAGCTACTCCAGCTGGACAGGCACTGTTCCTCTTTGCCTCATGCCCCATCCTTCCACTGTCCTCACCTCACCCACCCTCAGACTTAGCGCCTTGGTCCTGTTCCACAGCTGTTTAGTGTTTCTGGGAAAGCTTGTGAGGCCAGGATTCTGGGTTGAGTGCATCTGCTCCACAGCTGGGCACCCACTGCAAACACCCCCGGGGACCCTACCCCAGCCCCCAGCCTCTGCCTGCATCTCACACGCAGAGCCTGCCTGCCCCTTGCCTCCACTGCTGACCCCCTGCTCACTGTCTCCCCAAAAGGCCCTCTCCTCCCCCTTCTCTGCGTTCATACTTCTCTCTGCTATCTTTTCAGATGACATTCTCGTTGTCCTTCCCGAGGTGGTACTGGGGGGCTCCTCTCATCAACACCTCCATCTCAGCTTCCTATTCTAGTTTCCTATTCCGGGCCCTCCTCCCCCATTCCCCACCCCTGACCTCTGACCTTGCTGTGTCAATTTTACTCCTTTGGGCATTTTCAAAATCTGGCTTTTATTTTTTTCCCCAACATGACCTGTCTAGGCTAAGAAACATGCTTCCATCTCCTCCGTTAAACAAAAAGTCATCCCTAAAGTCTGCCTTCTTCTTGAGGTCCAATTGTAGTTTTCTCCTCTCCTTCAATCCCACAGTTCAGCCACACTCCTCTAACTTCGTATTAGGCAGTTTCTTTCTTTTTAGATCACTTAATTCCACAAATAATGATAGGAATACATTTTTCTGTAACAAATCAGGACATTATAGACAAAGCCCCAGTTCCTGGGGTATCACTCCCAGTTCCCATACTGTGCACAGCTTTGCGCTGTTTTTAATTCCTTGTTTATTTTCAGACTACTGTCAGAGCTTTTCCATACATGTGTACCTATGGGAAATGTACTATTTAGCATCCATCTGTTTGTTTAACATAAATTATATATTTACATATCAATCTGAGCTAGCTTGTTCACTCAACTGTAAGCCTTGGAATTCTTTCCAAGTTCATAGCAGCAGCATCTTTGATTGCTGCATAGTATTCCAAAGTGTATCTAGTATTTAGAGTAAATTCCTCGACTGAGGAATTTAGTTGCTAAAATGTGATTTCTGCAGTTTTTGAAAGTCACCAGTCACCTCCCGGGGATCATATCCTATGACCTTTGTTCTCTCCAGCTTCCTAGATCTCTTCCCAGTCTGAACTGTGTTGGCCTTTCCTTCTTAAAACTCTCTCCTGCCTTGGCTTCTGCAAAGCCCATGCTCTTCTGAATTTTCTGGTATCTTCTGACTCTTCTTTCTCCTATTTGTCTTTGCCTTCCTTCTCCCTGTGTATGTGTGTGTGTGTCTGACTTTTTGTGACCCTGTGGACTGCAGCCCTCCAGGCTCCTCTGTCTGTGGGATTTCCCAGGCAGGAGTACTGGAGTGGGTTGCCATTTCCTTCTCCAGGGGGTCTTCCTGATTTCCCGCATTGCAGGCAGATTCTTTCCTGTTCGAACCACAGGGAAGCCTTCCTCCTCCTTACTACCCCCTAAATGTAATCGCCCCTCAAGGAATTCTCCTCTTGTTCCTCAGCATCCTCACAAATTGTCCTACCAGAAGCACTGGGGTCTGGCCTCTCTCCAGAGCACAGCCCCTAAAATGCCAGTGCTTATTGTGTTTCCACATGAGTGTTTTCCCACAGAGATTTTCAGACTTTTCTGCGGGGAACCCTGTATGTAAGAAAAAGCATATTTGGAGGCAAAGTACATAAAGCAGAGATGAAGTCTCCAGGAACTCTCCTTTCTCTCCAGCTCTGCACCCCCACCCCATTTCACAGCTGGACTCTGACCATGTGCATGTGAAGGAGGGGGTGGTCTGGGAAACACCATCCCAGTGAATTTTAAAATAGTAATGAAACCAACTAAAAGTTAGCCTGCTTTTTATCATCACCATGTGCCTTCAATCTAAACAATGTCAAGGATGAGACACTCATCCCAGAGAAAATTCTTTTGTTGGTATAAATTCTAAACAACCGCTGAGGTTACTGTTGAGTATCAAAATAATTGCTCTGAAAGCTTCAAATTAACACAGTATTACTCATCCTTTCATTGTGTATGGATTGTACACATGTAAGTTAATTCCCAAAACACCCAGTTTTCCCATCAGCCCTGACACAGGTGGACTCGGGAAGCACTTTCAAGAGTAAGTAAGTTCCCAGCGATTCAGAACCTTTTGGCCTCACTGCACATGCACTCTGCGTGCAATTCTCCAACCTTTGGGAATGTCACCTTTCTGCTTTTAAACAGTATATTCAGAATAAACAATGGTAGTGCGGTGATGGTAAAGCTAAAGAAACAGAACTGAGTTACTTCCATACTGTCCTTTTATGTTGGCCATTTGGGATCTGTGTTTGTGTAAAATTTAAAGCAGTGAGACAGACTGTAGACTGCAAGCTGTCGTCTTTTTGTTTGGTAAGCATAAAATGCAGTTCATACATGTAATCTTTTACTGAATTGAAAATATCTTTTAAATTAAAATGTCTTCCTTTTTAAAAAAATTACTGAAGTATAGTAATTTTTTAACTTACTGTATTTACTATGTTGCCGTGATTTACAATGTTGTGTCAGTTTCAGGTGTAACAGCAAAGTGAATCAGTTATACACACACACACACACACACACACACACACACACACACATATGCACTCTTTTTTAGGTTCTTTTCCCATATAGGTCATTACAGGGTCCTGAGTAGAGTTAACCTATGCTATACAGTAGGTCCATATTAGTTATCTATTTTATATACAGTACTGTGTATATGTCAATCCCAGTCTCCCAATTTATCCCACCCCCACAAATATTTCTCTTTTTAGTTGCTAATGCTTTTAAAACTAGAGAAAAAGTCAAGAAAGTAATGATTATCTCAAGATAATTATGGAAGTAGTTTTGGCATCTGGAGGAGAGTCTTGGTAGCAGTCATGACTGCAAGTCTCAGACTCTCCAGGGTCACAGGACCTTTGCTGACCCCATGGCAGGCGTTCCTGACCTTCATTCCTGCAGCTGCGCTAAGCAGATTGCACCATCTAACTGTAAATCAGATTAGAGTTATGCAGACGTCAAGACACAAACAGTTGCTGCAAGCTCCCTCCCTCCTCTCTTATTCCAGAGATGGCCTTTTAAGTACAGAGACTGACTCTAAAAAATAAGATAAAACTGCCCATTCACCTCCTTCCATTCTTCCCTTGTAAGTGCTCACACTTATCCTTGTCTTTCCATCCCCGCCTTTCTTGGTTTTATGCCCTTTTTAATTATGCTTTCCTACCAGTCTTCCTGCTTCCACTCTCTCCTTCTTTAAACTATTCTCACATCTATTAATACCTCTTAATTAATAAGAGGTACTAAAGTCCTCTCCTTGAAGGTTTGGCCAGGTCCCTCCTTAACTGAGCCCCCAACCTTAATTGACTCCCTACACCAATTGGATAAAGGTTTTAGACATCTACTATCCTCCTTCCCAGCCTTTATTCTGTCTCCTTTCTCCATACAGACTTTCTGGCTCCACTGTATTCACTGAAAGTAGAGATGTTCTGTCAGACTGTTTGGATCCCAGCCCTAGTTTGATACCACCTAGTGATGTAACCCATCTTTGCGTGAAATGTTCCCTTGGTATCTCTAATTTTCTTGAAGAGATCTCTAGTTTTTCCCATTCTGTTGTTTTCCTCTATTTCTTTGCATTGATCGCTGAGGAAGGCTTTCTTATCTCTCCTGGCTATTCTTTGGAACTCTGCATTCAAATGGGAATATCTTTCCTTTTCTCCTTTGCATTTCACTTCTCTTCTTTTCAAAGCTATGTGTAAGACCTTCTCAGACAACCATTTTGCCTTTTTGCATTTTTTTTCCATGGGGATGGTCTTGATCCCTGTCTCCTGTACAATGTCACGAACCTCCATCCATAGTTCATCAGGCTCTCTGCCTATCAGATCTAATCCCTTAAATCTAAGGCTAGAGATCTCTTCAAGAAAATTAGAGATACCAAGGGAACATTTCACACAAAGATGGGTTTGATAAAGGACAGAAATGGTATGGACCTAACAGAAGCAGAAGATATTAAGAAGAGGTGGCAAGAATACACTGAAGAACTGTACAAAAAACATCTTCATGATCCAGATAATCACAATGGTGTGATCACTCACCTAGTGCCAGACATCCTGGAATGTGAAGTCAGGTGGGCCTTAGAAAGCATCACTATGAACAAAGCTAGTGGAGGTGATGGAATTCCACTTGAGCTATTTCAAATCCTAAAAGATGATGCTGTGAAAGTGCTGCACTCAGTATGCTAGAAAATTTGGAAAACTGAGCAGTGGCCACAGGACTGGAAAAGGTCAGTTTTCATTCCAATCCCTAAGAAAGGCAATCCCAAAGAATGCTCAAACTATCGCACAATTGCACTCATCTCACACGCTAGTAAAGTAATGCTGAAAATTCTCCAAGCCAGGCTTCAGCATTACGTGAACTGTGAACTTCCAGATGTTCAAGCTGGTTTTAGAAAAGTCAGAGGAACCAGAGATCAAATTGCCAACATTAGCTGGATCATTGAAAAAGCAAGAGAGTTCCAGAAAAACATCTATTTCTGCTTTATTGACTACGCTAAAGCCTTTGACTATGTGGATCACAATATACTGTGGAAAATTCTGAAAGAGATGGGAATACCAGACCACCTGACCTGCCTCTTGAGAAACCTGTATGCAGGTCAGGAAGCAACAGTTAGAACTGGACATGGAACAACAGGCTGGTTCCAGATAGGAAAAGGAGTATGTCAAGGCTGTATATTGTCACCCTGCTTATTTAACTTATATTCAGAGTACATCATAAGAAGCGCTGGGCTAGAAGAAGCACAAGCTGGAATCAAGATTGCTGGGAGAAATATCAATAATCTCAGACATGCAGATGACACCACCCTTATGGCAGAAAGTGAAGATGAACTAAAAAGCCTCTTGATGAAAGTGAAAGAAGAGAGTGAAAAAGTTGGCTTAAAGCTCAACATTCAGAAAACTAAGATCATGGCATCTGGTCCCATCACTTCCTGGGAAATAGATGGGGAAACAGTGGAAACAGTGTCAGACTTTATTTTTTGGGGGCTCCAAAATCACTGCAGATGGTGACTGCAGCCATGAAATTAAAAGACGCTTACTCCTTGGAAGGAAAGTTATGACCACCCTAGATAGCATATTAAAAAGCAGAGACATTCCTTTGCCAACAAAGGTCCGTCTGGTCAAGGCTATGGTTTTTCCAGTGGTCATGTATGAATGTGAGAGTTGGGCTGTTAGGAAAGCTGAATGCTGAAAAATTGATGCTTTTGAACTGTGGTGTTGGAGAAGACTCTTGAGAGTCTCTTGGACTGCAAGGAGATCTAGCCAGTCCATCCTAAAGCAGATCAGTCCTGGGTGTTCATTGGAAGGACTGATGCTGAAGCTGAAACTCCAGTCCTTTGACCACCTCATGTGAAGAGTTGACTCATTGGAAAAGACCCTGATGCTGGGAGGGATTGGGGGCAGGAGGAGAAGGGGACGACAGAGGATGAGATGGCTGTATGGTATCACCGACTTGATGGGCATGTGTTTGAGTAAACTCCGGGAGTTGGTGATGGACAGGGAGGCCTGGCGTGCTGCGATTCATGGTGTCGCAAAGAGTCGGACACTGATCGACTGAACTGAACTGAACTGAAGGGATGTAACCTCAGGCAAGGTACCTAACCACCTCCCCCCACCCCTCCCCATCCAGGAAGGCAAAACATTCTCTGCTTTGTAAAATGGAGATAATAATGGAAACTCTACCTCAGAGACGACATAAATCACTCTCTAATGCCTATTCAACGTGTGTGTGCTAAGTCACCCAGTTGTGTCCAACTGTTTGCAACCTTATGGACTGAAGCCCACCAGGCTCCTTTGTCCATGGGATCCTCCAGGCAAGAACACTGGAGTGGTTGCCATGCCCTCCTCCAGGGGGTCTTCCTGACCCAGGGATTGAACCTGGGTCCCCTGCAGCTCCTGCATTGCAGATGGAGTCTTTACCACTGAACCACTGGGAAAGCCCAATTCAATAAATGGTAGCCATTAGAATTCTCATCATCAGAGCACCTTGCAGATACTCAATAAATTTGTTGATTGACTGATTAATGTTGACATGAATTTGAGAAGTAAGCTTCAAATTATTGAGTAGATGAGACTTAAGTAATGATCAACTATGGTACAAGTAGGCAAGCTCACAGAGATTTTATTTCCTGTCTGGGAGAGAGACTACGAAGTCCAATGCATTACCTACAGTTTTGTCCCTCTCTGGTCCCAGCAGAACCTAAAATGAAAAGCACTGGAGTGGAGCAAGAGGGGTGCGGCAACTTTGTGATAAGCACGGGATCCTGAATCCTTTCCTTCCTTTGGAAAAGTTACTTAATCCCTCCACACTTCCACTGACCTCTCTGGAAACTAGAAATAATAGCACCCTGTGATGAGGAGTCATTTAGTGAGTCATTAGTTAGTAGGTAGTTGGTACAGTGCTTAGTAGAGAGGCAGGCACATGGCAAGGACTGCGGAATCGCTTGTCACAGAAGACCAAAGATGAAGAACAGGCTGATGTGTCTCTCTGCACAGGTCTTAGCTTGGGAGTGTTTGGAGTTAGATGCTGCCTGACTCTGAGAGGGCTGCTCCTAACGGGTTCTGCCTGAGTGCACTTGAAAGACCTATTGTTATCTGCTGGTCTGCCTTGCTCCCTAGAGTAGTTTCCTGGGGAAGTGACACAAACCTCTCACCACCGTCCAGGCATGCTCTGCCATCTGGGAAGCAGACCTGTTTCTAAGGCGGTCAAACCCAGCAGGGTATGAAATGTTAACACCTGACATCAGGACAGCCCTCTGACCTTTAACAACACACCCCTTTCTTCCAAAAGGAGTGAGCCAAGATGTGGCTCCCCAGTTCAGATCCGTCACTACTTATCACACGCAGCTAGCTTTAATACAAAGAGAGATTTGGGACAAAGAGATGCCTGATTTTTTCCCCTTCCCACCACACCCAGTTAGGAGCACCAGAGCTGCAACTTATGTTGTCATAGCCTCACTCTCTAGAATTCTCCAGGAGATGGTGTCTGTTTGATTCTTTCTCCTTTTAACCCTTGTCTTGATTTCTTGCAGACCCTTGTCTGCCGATTCTTTACTCTTCCTTAAAAAGGATGTCTGTTTAGGGCTGAATTGTACACTGTTTTTCATGGTTTGCATGATAACTTATGTTAATATACTCATGTATATTTTAAGTTTTGAAACCGGTGTTCCCCATGTTTTTTACATCCAGGGTTCAGTGTGGATTCTAGATAAACCAATAGAAATCTGCCCCTCAAAAATCTGATCCGGATCTTGCCTGTATTTTCTTATGTGTTCAAATTAATAAAAGCTGTGGCTGAATATGTTTCTTCTTCGTAACGCTTGTAAAACAGGGTTGTAGCCAGGTAGTAAACTGGAGTGAAACCGTGTGTCTCTCTCTCGTAAATCTTAGCTCCGTGGAGCCGATAAAAATGCCGGAGCCCCTAACAGGGCAGGCTATTTGCCTTTTTGGTGTGGGTTTTCTTCCATCCCCATCCATCAGTGATACTTTGGTAAATAGGTTCATCAGTTATGGGTATAGTATTATATACTGATTCCCTTGCTGAGTGTTAAAAATAAAAAGCATCGTCCATTACAAATTACTTTCAGCAGAACTTGCTTGGTTGAGGTATGGAGAAAGCAGGGCTTGGCTTTCCTTGATCTACCGCAGACAAAAGAAAAGGGCCACGGAGAGGGAGTGCGAGCTTTGTCCTCCGAAGCAGCGTGGCCGCACGACGGAGATGCTAACCACGGGACTATAAACAGTGCTTCCCTTGTGGAGGTAAAGAAGATGTGAGCTGGCCTCGGTCCCATTTTATTTATTTATGTATCTAGGACGGGTTTGTTTAGGAATGCAACAAAAGATTGTTCAGGCTGTTTTGTTTGGTTCTGTTTTTCAGATCAATGCTAATGACAGCCTGTGACCTTGGAGCCGTGACCAAACCGTGGGAGATCTCGAGACAGGCGAGTGGTGATTAATGGCAGGGCTCAGCCAAGCGGGGGCTGGGGGGGACAGTATTCCCAGAGCCCTGTCTGCCAGGCACTGAAACCCGAGTCAATTTGCATCAGTATTAACGCGGTATAAAAAATAGCAGGAGGCTGAGGGGCGACATAGTTTATTGCCCAGCCTTTCTTTATCATGCTTCCACTGAGAACTAATATTTCTGACTCTGTAAGATTTTTTTTTTCTTTTAACACACTAAATCCAAATAACACTTTGGCCATTTCTTAAGGCAGGAGTTTCAAATGTAGTGTTTTTGAATAGGTAACCATGTTTTAGTACAAGGTCCAATTTTTCACATCTGGTTAAAAAAAAAAAAAAAACAAGGAGGTAAAAAGGAAATTTGATTTTTTTTTAAAAAAGGCTATTTAGAAATCAGAGGGCTCTTTGGCCAAAATATGAGGTATCTAATTTAATTTGTACCAAAAATTTAATGCATTTACCACCTATCTGGTTTCATTGATCAAAAGTGTTAGTTCTAGAGCAAGAATAGTTTTTAATCTCATAACTTCCCAACTTAAGATTTGATTAATTTAATAGCTCTTTCCATTTTATGAGGCACCTCCTGGGTGGGCTGTGGGGTCTAAAGCAGTAACTTGTTATCTTAAGACTTGACATTTGAGGGAAAATAAGATACATTCACATAACAGTAAAAACTAATATTTATTGACTGAATAACTGTTAATGTCTGCTTTGTAAGTGTTAAATCATTAAATCCCCTGAGGTGGGTATTGTTACTGTAGGGGTTAAATAATGGCATCCCAAAGCCATCACGTCCTAATCCCTGGAACCTGTAAGTGTTACCTTAAAAGGAAAAAGGGTCTTTGCAGATGTGATTACCTTAAGGACCATCATTATCATCATCTGGATTATCCAAGAAGACCCTCAATTCAGTCACTAGTGTCCTTAGAGGAGAGAGGCACGGGGATGGCACATTCAGAAGAGAAGGCAATGCAAAGGCACGGCGGAGACTGGAGTGATGTGGCCCCAGGAAGAAGGATGCCGTCAGCCAGCAGGCAGTAAACAGGCGAAGGACAGATCCTCTCCTCCAGACTCCGGGGGACCATGGCCCTGCCAACACCTTAGTTTCTGCCCAGTAAACTGATATTGAACTCCTGCCCTCCGGAACTAGGCGAGACGTCATTTCTGTTGCTTTAAACCACTATGTCTGTGGTAGTTTCTGGCAGCCCTAGGAAACTAATACAGTGATTATTCCTATTTCACCAATGGGGAAAATGAGGCTTAGAAAGGATACATAGTCTGAGATCATACAAGTGGAAGTTGCATAGCTAGGAATTCAAGTCCTAGCAGATTAAGTTCCAAAGTCTTTCCTTCTTAACAGTGTTTTATGCTTTCTTACAGAGGAGGCACCACTTAGCCTTTTTAAATAATGCAAGTGCATTGGCAGAATGGGTGTGTTACCACTAAGCTCAAGATCTCAGTAGCTTAAACCAACAAATCACCTGGAGGCACATGCCTCGGGGTTGGCTGGCGCCTCTGTGTCCTCACTCTGGACTGGGGCTGAAGGAGCAGCCACTGTCTGGATCATTCCAGCAGAGACCCGGGTGGGTTTTTCAATGGAAGTTAAATGTTATTCCCCCAGCAATTCATTGGCCAAAACTTGTCAAAAGACCCCATCCAGACAGGAAATACCATCCTTCCCGGTGCCCAGAAAGTAGAAAGAAAGGAATAGTTGGTGAAAACAAAACTACCAGTTTGCCCTTTTAATCACCAAAAATGTGATTCACTCTCCTTGCTGCAAGCGAAATATACTCATCCTCCCCTCCAAGGGAGATGACCCAAACAGCCCATTAGTCGAGGGATTAAGCTCAAAGTCCAGGATCTCTGGGTGATGTGTGCACATCCCTACAGCACATCTGGATATAAACCAGAGGCCCACACACACCCAAAATGCTGCACATGGCACACACCCATGCCACAGAACACTCATATGACACTCCCAACTCCATGTGGCACCCTTTGGGAGGGCCCTGATTCTCAGGGAGATGCTCCCCAATTTGATATTTTCTATGGTTTTTAGATCCATCCTGGGAAATCATTCCTTTTCCACCGTCCTCCTTGGTGAGAGTCAAAGGTCAAACTCTCTCAGCCTACTTCCCTCTAAAGAAGGTTGAGTGCCCAAGGTTTAAGTTTTACATAGTCACAGGCTTGTGAGGGGGCTTTAGCACCAAAAGCCTCTTAAACATTGAGTCACCTTCTTGGATCTTTGATCCCAGTCATTTCCATTTGCTAATAATCATTTCCACAGTTAGATACTATACAAACTTCTTAGATCTCCTGTTATTTCTTTGCTTCCTTACATTCAGGAACAAGGAAATAAAGCACATGTACATCTTTATTTCTCTCTTGACAGTTAATCCCTAGTATTTGGTACCCAGTATTTGGCACCAGTGAGAAAACCATGTAGTCAAATTATTTCTCTGGGTCATTTTGTCTAACTGAAAGGATGTTGTGTGTGTCCCCTAATTCATTCAGAGTTTTTAACTGTGTCACTGGCCACACCTTCTATTTCATTCTTGTTGTGAGGCTAAATAACTGTTGAGGTCTTTGTCATTCAAAATGTATCTCAATTTTTACTTTCACAGTTTGGGGTTAAGAAGCAACTTCATATTCTATCCTTATAAGACCCAGAATTTATGACTTTCTCTGTTGCCTTTCATTTCTGGTTATACACCTGCCAACGCTTTTCTGAGCTCACTTCTTATAATCCCGAGCAAAAAAGTCAATAGCAGCCATCATGTGCTATTAACTTTCTTTTTCAATCTCTTCCCCCTAAGCCTGGAAGTTCATTAGATACAGTATTTGCTTTATTTCCATGAGAAATAAATAAACTATTTTGCCACCATGTAAGATGGATCATCATCCCTATAGCTTCTAACAACCATTTCCTCACTTTTTTATACCTGACTCTCAAGTCACATATTTTAGGGTATTTTCCTCTTTCTCTTCCTTCCTTCCTTTCTGTTGAATAGCAGTATCTCACTTCCATACCAATTTTTGTGTTAGTCAAGGCTAAGCTAGGCTTGACTGCAGTAACAAATATATTCTCAAATTCAGTTGCTGAACACAAATGAAAGTTTTTATCTTGCTCACATCACAGCTTGGTACCAGTGGTGCTGTTTTCCTACAGACTCTCCTTCAATAAACAGACTCTCTTCCAACTGAGTCGGTTTTCACTTTAGTGTGACATGATTGAAGTGGCTCAGACAGTTAAAAATCCACCAACAATGCCAATAAAGGTCTGTCTCGTCAAAGCTATGGTTTTTCCAGTGGTCATGTTTGGACGTGAGAGTTGAACTATAAAGAAAGCTGAGCACTGAAGAATTGATGCTTTTGAACTGTGGTGTTAGAGAAGACTCTTGAGAGTCCCTTGGGCTGCAAGGAGATCCAACCAGTCCATCCTAAAGGAGATCAGTCCTGGGTGTTCATTGGAAGGACTGATGCTGAAGCTGAAACTCCAATACTTTGGCCACCTGATGCAAAAAACTGATTCATTGGAAAAGACCCTGATGGTGGGAAAGATTGAAGGCTGGAGGAGAAGCGGACGACAGAGGATGAGATGGTTGGATGGCATCACTGACTCAATGGACATGAGTTTGAGTAAACTCCGGGAGTTGGTGATGGACAGGGAAGCCTGGAGTGCTGTAGTCCATGGGGTTGCAAAGAGTCGGACATGACTGAGTGACTGAACTGAACTGAACTGACAATGCTGGAGACCTGGATTCTCCCCAGGTCAGGGAGAGCCCCTGGAAAAGAGAATGGCTACCCACTGCAGTATTCTTGCCTGGAGAATTTCATGAACAGAGGAGCCTGATGGGCTACAGTTCATGGGGTCGCAAAGAGTCAGAAATGACCGAGCAACTAAGTAAGCATGCACACATGCTTGAAGTTAAAAAGCAAGTTATGGTGGAGAATTTGTTGGTTGTGTAGCTAATTTCTTCATCTATGCCCACCTTTCCCTCCCTCATGTGGGATGGCCTCCCTTAAAATAAAGTATTGGGAATATACTGCAGAGAAGATGTAGGTGACTTTTCCAGGTACTATGGGGAGTGGCCTCTATGATAGGGGTGGAAGGTGATAGAGAGTAGGAAAAAGTTAGGAGGACCGAGGATAATAGAGAAGATTAGAAAGGGGATGGATGAGGGATGCTGTGCCAGGGCTATCAGGACCCCAGTGAAATGCATGTCACAGATAAAAGAGCAGCAGCCCAGCTGGGAGTCAGAAAGTGACAAAGTGCTTGAAAGGGAAAAAGTTACTGCATTGAGATTATAGAATGAAGAGGCCCAATGGCCACTTGTAGGTGGTCTTCTTGGTCCCTGATATAAATATTAGTTTATTTTCAAGATTTGAATGTCAGCTCACTGATGCAGAAACTCATGAGGTCAGGGAAATAAAACATAAAACCATGTTTTTCTATCAGAAATCTTGTTTCCATCAGAAATCTTGTCACAACTCTAAACTGAAGATCTCATTTTTGTCTCCAAATTGAATGAGTTAAATATTATCAAAAACTTACAATGTATGACAAAAACCACTACCATATTGTAAAGTAATTAGCCTCCAACTAATAAAAATAAATGAAAAAATAAATAAATAAAATGGAAATAAAAAAATAAAAAGACTGAGGAAAAAAACTTACTTCTAGAAGGATGTTAGGAAACAGTTGGACAAAAACAATAGAAACTTCTTTTAAAAATAGAAATGTATTTCCAATTTCCTGGATGCTGATTTTTTTTAAAAATTCCTTTTGAAAATGTTTTTTCACTGGAGTCTCTTTCACTTTGCCTTCCTTGCACACAGGACTCTAAGCATGCGGGTTTCTCCAGTCATCCCCCAAGGCCTGATTAGCATCTCAATTTCCTTCTTTAATAAAAAATTCAATCACGAGCTACTTAATAGGCCTGCTTGGGTTTTTAAGTACAAATGAAACAGTGGTACAAGTTGAGCTGTGAAAGAAGCTCGGGGGAAATACCCAAGACCACTTTAGAAAGCTCAATACAAGGATTTTGTTTTAATTTCTTTGCTTTCCAGGGACTACTGACCTCTTCAGGACTCCACCTCAGGGTGACCTGCTATATACACATACATTCTTTAGTGCAAAAGATCCACCTCAAAGGAGTCCGAGGGAGAGTTCTGGAAACTGAATAGTGAGGCCAGGTCCTCAGAGGGCCATTTCTTCTCTAAAGGAAGGCCAGAGAGCAACAGGAGAGGCTTGGAGTGCTAATGTGAAAGGCAGTGGCAGAGACTAGAGAGAAGTGAGCCGGAATCCTAGGAAAATTAAGTCAGTTCCACCTAGTTTTATGCTATTGGATTTGTTAAATGTTTAAAATCTGCACTGGCCATTTTATTTGTTAATAAACGACTTTATACTTGCCACTCTCAGATGTGTGTGCGTTACATATTCTTTTTGTTTTATCAATGGCTACCATTCATGGTTGTTAAAATCTCTTGAGAGATGTATTTAGGTAAATTATCTTGATTCTCTGCACTTGACCAAAATTAAGCCACTCTAACCTTTGCCAGACCTCAGAACCTCATCTTTGTAAGAGCTTGGAAATCAGATCTTCTTGCTATCAAGTTGTCTGGAATTTGTTTTCTGTTCTTTCAATATTTTGTAAATCCAGCTAGTTCATCTCAGAGATTTCCCAGATGTTCACCACGGTGTTGTTGAAAATATCTGGTCAGTGCTGATCTGTTACATCAGTTTTCTTCTCATAAGCCTATTGATAGAAGCACAGAGTCGGGGAAGGGGGTGGAATCTCTGCAAGCCTGACCGTGATCAGTAGCTTCTGATCATCCGTGCTAATGGATGAAAAGTAGAAAAATATATGTCCTTACTTTGGGAAATATCTGTGTGGTTTACAGTAGAACAGCCATTCCATTGTGCTGTAAACAACTAGAATGCACCATAAATAAACAGTTATTTACTATGTGGAAGGAGGCAGCCTAAAACCAAATCACATTCTTCAAGTCATATTATAACATACTGTAGGACTTTGCTGGTGGTACAGTGGATAAGAATCTACCTGCCAGTGCTGGGGACATGTGTTCGATCCCAGGTCCGGGAAGATTCCACATGCTGCTGAGCAACTAGGCCTGTGCAACTACTGAAGACCTTTCACCTGGAGTCTGTGCTGCACACCAAGAGAAGCACTGCAGTGAGAAGTCCACGCACTGCAGTGAAGAGCAGCCCCCTCACCGCAGCTGGCAGCCCACAAGCGGCGACCAAGACCTCGTGCAGCCAAAGATAAATAAATAATGATTTTCAAAAAAAATTCCGTAAAAGTCTGGTGTGAACAATGAATCTGGCATTAGTCCTGCCCCTTGACTGATTGCTACAGTAGGAAGCAAAGGGTGGGCCCTGGGGTTAACCCTTCCAGGGTGCACACAAATACTGGTCGGGTGACATGGTTAAGAAGTTTCTACAGCGGCAGAATGTAGCCAGGCTAAAATATGTGTGCAACAAAGTAAAAATAATCTGCCCAGAAACAACCAAAAGTTGGCTGAATGGTTATTACAAATATAGTATGATAATCTGTTATAATGTCAATTACTATTAGGTTATTGTTCGCTTCATTTTTCTGGATAAGAACATTCCCTCCCTTGAAGGTTACATATCCGTGCCTCATCTGAATATGTAAGCTCTACTCTTAGAGATTGTCTATTGGCATGTATCTAAGGATTGCAACTGTACTTCAACTCTATCTCAAGAAAAATAAATAAAAATACAATGCACAAGATCTGATTAAAAGGAAATCAGGTTCATTGATTAAATTCTGTCATACTTTCAAACACAAAAGGTTAATGAACGTCCTCATAAGCTTTTCAAACAATAGTCTGTCTTGAAGGTAACTGCCATAGACATAAACCAGAAATAACTTCTACGTCTCATGATGAATTACATATGCCCATTAATTAAAATATTTTTGGGTTTCAGGTGGCTGAACTTGTAACCAGCGAGTTCTTTGAACAAGGAGATCGGGAGAGAGCAGAACTGAAACTCACCCCTTCAGTAAGATCATCCTTTTCTTATGATGTATTTACCCTTTCGAATGACATTTCAAAATAACTTCAGGTTGCACCTTGAAAGGCTGAGAATGAATTTAAGGAGGCACTCCTGAAAGTTTCAAACTTTAATTAAACTTAGATGCTAAACACTCTTATTCCCAGGTTTCTGATTAAGAGGGCTGATTACTTAACAAGCATTTCCTGTGTTCCCACACTGGGAGAAATAGGCACAAGGGAGGATTGCAGACTAGTACTTGAATAACTCAAAGCCCAGGGCTGGTGCTTCAAATGCAGTCAGTGGCTATGTTGAGACAGAAATACAGGGAGGGAAAAAGAAAACCTAAAGGCAAGCTGTCCAGCCTTGAGGGGCTAGAAAAGGCAGGTGCAGTAAATAATGGATATTCTGGAGTTTACTTTCCAATTTTGAACTTTTCCAAATTCTGAAAGCAAATCATTTCAAGTCTCTTGTTTCTTGTTTTGCATGATGAAAAGTTGCACCTGGGAAACTAGGTTCTGCTGATTGAAATGCTGTTTTTCTTGGATTCATCCATTCAGTTACTATTTGAGAATGCTTATTGTAGGCTAAGGATGATTATGTTTTTACCCACCAGGAGACAAAGATATAAATGCCCCAGTCACCAACCTCAAGGAGGGGGCAGTCTCTTTATTCTTAATGAAAGAGTAGCTCAAATCATATCACCCAGTGATCCAAGAATGGTCCAGAGTATTCTAAAGTCTGCCGGAGCACAGAAGATCCAATGCAGCTAAAGGAATGTGTCAGTTATCAAGAGTGTCTGTTCATGAACAGATCAACTAGGTTTGAATATTTGGAGTTACTTATAAGATCTTCAAGTTTTAAAACATTTTTCTTCACTGACATTTAAAAACAAGGAAAAGCGGCAGAAAAGCTCCTAGCTTGAAGAGTTTCACCTGCTTGAAGTCAGAACTCAGACTTTCTAATTTTGACTATTCTTTATTTGTTGTTGACCCATAACAGATCAGGAGACTACATAGGTTAACACACCCATCAATTATTTTAATTTCCAAAGAATATCTGTTTATACTGTTTTCAAAACATTCCTTTGTTCTTTTTTGGTGGTGTCATCAAATTTGGTTATAAAATAAAGATGCTAAATTGGGATACATAGTTAATGTGTAAAATGTAGTACAACCCAAATTTATGCCAGCTGTTAGTATATCTGTTTTCAAGTAAAAGATTTTCTTCTCTTTTAAAAAACTGTTTCCAAGGCCTCCTCTGAAGGCCTTACACTGCAGCAATACCACAGGCCGTTTAATTAAATGGAAAAAGCATGAGTTAATTGCCAGTGTTGACAGGCTGGCAGGTGTGGTGGCGCAGCACTGAGGAACTTTTGTAGAGTCAGGTAAGGGTTTTTCTGGAGACATAAATGAAATTAATTTTGTGGTGGAAGCATAGCTGTATGTGCTACTGTCCCCCCACAGGGGCCTGCTTAGTACAACTGCTGACCGTCTCCTCGGGAGAGGCCTGGCTTCTGTAGCAGGAGTATCCCACATGAGTGCTTTTCCAGAAATGTCTAGAAATGTGCACACCCAGATCTGACACCTTCTGTGTCCATCATTCCTTGCTATTTAGGGATAAAATTGTCCAACAGCCCTTTCAGGTGTCATAGGCCTAAAGGTCAACAGAGTCACTTCATCCAGATTAATGCTGGAGGCAGTGAGTCAGTTAACAGAACTTGCTTGACCACCTTCAAGTATTGAGCAGGAAGCTGAGCACAGTGCACCAAGACATGAGGCAGCACCATCTTCCCTGCCCTCAAGAAGCTTGCCAACTGGCAGGAAGTATGGACATTAAATAAATTTTCACTAATAATCAACTACAAGATGCAAAATTCTGTAAAGGGAAGCATAGGACAAAGTGGTATATCACACTTCCACTCATCAAACATGTGTTGAGAAGTGACTAGTCCAGAAATGACCCCTTACAGTTATGGCCCACTGATTTGGGGCAAGGGTGCCAAGATAATGCAATCAAGAAAAAATAATCTATACATAAAATGGTGCTGTGACAAAGGAATATCACATGCAAATGAGAATGAACCTTCTCTTTCACCAGACCCTAAAATAAACTCAAAATGCATCATAGACCTAAATGTTAGAGCTAAAACTATAAACTCTTAGAAAAAAACAAGATATAAATCTTCTGGATTGGATTCAGCAATGATATTTTAGATATGATACCAAAAGCATAAGAAACAAAAGATAAAATAGAGAAATTGAACTTCATCAAAATTAAAAACATTGTGTATCAAAGGACACTATTACAAAAGTGAAAAGACAACCCACAGAATGGGAAAAAATGTTTATAAAGCATATGTCTGATATGGGCCTAATGTCTAACCAGTGAAGTTGCTCAGTCATGTCCAACTCTTTGCGATCCCATGGACTGTAGCCTACCAGGCTTCTCCATCCATGGAATTTTCCAGCAAGAGTACTGGAGTGGGTTGCCATTTCCTTCTCCAGGGGATCTTCCTGACCCAGGGATCGAACTCAGGTCTCCCACATTGCAGGCAGACACTTTACTGTCTGAGACACCAGAGAAACCCACCTAATGTCTAGGATATATAGAAAATGTTTCAGTATATGTAAGCTATTATATAAATGTATAAAATGTTTTATAAAATAGATAACATATAAAAACTATTGCAACTCAGCAACAGAAAGACAACACAATTTTTTAATGGGTAAAGGATCTGAATAGACATTTCTCTAAAGAATATATATAAGTGACCAATAAGCACATGAAGAAAAATGTCCTAAATCATTAATCATCAGGGAAATACAAATCAAAACCACAGTGAGATACCACTTCACACTCACTAAGATGACTATAATTAAAAAGACAGACAGTAACAAGAGTTGGCAAGAATGTGGAGAAATTGGAACTTTGTACATTGCTGGTGGGAATTTAAATGATGCAGCTGCTTTGGAAACAGTTTGGCAGTTCCTCAAAACATTAAACACTAGGGTTACCATGTGGCAAGCAATTCTACCTCTAATTATAACCCCAAGAGAAACAAAAGTATACATCCACACAATAAAACTTGAATGTAGTAGCATTATACATAATAAAAGGTTGAAACAACCCAAATGTCCATCTACTGATAAATGGATAAATAAAATATGGTATATCTATACGAGAGAATATCATTTGGCAATAAAAATGAAGTGCTGATGTAGGCTTACACAGTAAACCTTGAAAACATTATACTAAGTTAAAGAAGCCCATCACAAAAGACCACATATCATATGATTCCATGAATATAAAATGTGCACAACAGACAAATCTATAAAAGCAGAAAGTGATTTTGTGAACTGCCTAAGTATTAGGGGATTTGGGGAAGAATGAAGAGAGATTGCTAATTAGTATGTGATTTTTTTTTTCCCCCTTGGATCGATAAAAATGTTCTAAAATTGACTTTTAATGGTTGCTAATTGTAAATATTTTTTAAGTGAATTAAAAAAAAAATAAGTGTATCCTATGCACCAGAAAGAGTCATTAAACAAATAAGAAAATTTCAGATAATATTGAGAACTATAAACAGGGTAAAACAGAATAATGTTTTTAAAATGGTTTTAAAACGTTTAAATGTTTTTTAATCTTGGACATATTGAACCAAGATCCATGTGGTTCACAGGAACCAGCCCTTCCTCCAGCAGGTTTCACAGTGTTCTTGGAGTACCTAGTCCTCCTTCCTGATATTTACACTCCACATGGCAGTCAAGGATGAGCAGGCCAGTGGGAGGCAGTGACCTTCGCCCTAATTTGGAGATATTTTCCTCAGCAGCACCCTTCCATCTTCTTGTGAGCCTCAGCAGCAAATGATTTGGGCCCCACCCAGTCTCACTTTGTTCCTAAGTCTAAAGGATGCAGGATTTTTCAACATATATGGACCAAGGACATGTCATGAGTCTGCCCTCATGACCTATGTGAACACCAAAATTATGTGGATGCCACATTTAGAAGAAAGACAACACCTACTGTAAGACAGTAAGGCAGGATGGGGTTTCTTCTTAGACCCTGGCCTTACTCTTTAAGAATAAAGGAATTAGCCTCTACCTGCCCCTGAGCTGATCATGTCCATGACACATTTGATACAGCACCTGGAGTCTGCAGCATACCTTATAGTGTTATGACACCTGCTTAGTGCTTTACAATAATAGCCATTGTGTGGGTGTCATCTAAGTTAAAGACAATCTCATTTGTATCTGGGCAAAACATATTTCATGTGTATGTATTTAAAATTTATTGATAAGTTGAATCTATATCTGAAAATATACCCTCTGGCAATAAAGTTTATATACATAAAAAAAGAACAAAGGGAGGGACATTCTTACTGGACTACACTGGGCAGTGTTTGTCCAAGGAATCCAGTTTAGCCATCCAGTGACAACTGAGTGTCTCTCCTTTTATGTCTGCCCAACAGAAATATGTCACCTCTTTTTCTCAAAAATTGTCTAAACATTATAATATTATAAAGTTTAAAGGTTGGGAATGAGGATAGAATGGGTACTTTCCCCCCCATTGTCTATCCCTACCAGTTTCCTCTGACCATGGAATTTTCCAGGCAAGAATACTGGAGTGGGTTGCCATTTCCTTTTCCAATTATCCATCCAGTGATAGATAAAAATTTAGGAATTTGTTAATGACAGGACCTTATTGAAAAACAGACAAAATTGTCCCCACTCTGAAAAATTAACACAAATAGTTCCTATTTAAAATGACATTGCTTTTAAGGAGCTTTTCCAATCTATTCCATAATCTCTCACTATAAAAATAAAAGCCTGCACTATTTTGTGGCAATAAAACATTTCCCATTCCTTTGACTTGTACCCAGTTCTCAGTGACCTGATGACTGATTTAGTAGCAGTTACCTATATCTGAAGACAGATTTTGGCCCCAAGGAGTTGCATGCTATAAAGTCCAAATAAATCCGCTTACAAATCTCATAAAAAGAGGTGAAAATACTTTATTTCTCATCACAGATAAAGGAAAAGAAAGTACGTGTAAAGGTTGATTGTGATTTGTGAAGTGTTCAGTTGGTAAAAATCGGATCATTGTGGCAAAGTGTTTGACAAAGCACCCGTAAAGTCTCTGGTGTAATAAAGCAAGGCTCTCCTCCCCCATTCCAGGCTATTTTTGATCGGAACCGGAAGGATGAGCTGCCTCGATTGCAACTGGAGTGGATTGATAGCATCTGTATGCCTTTGTATCAGGTAATCATGATCCGAGAGGGTCTGTGTGTCTTCACCGAGCCAGGAAGGAAAAGCATGTACCGCATTTTCAGAAGTATTGGTTTTAGGACACCCTCCCAGGGTATGTGTGTTGCCGGGAATGGTGGTTGCAGCTTATCTTTTCTTGGATTTCTGATCAGTCCACTGAGAAGACTTGGTACTCGGAACCCAAAGACCCGAGTTCTCCTTGGGCCTCAACTCCCTCATCTATAAACCAAGTATCGTAATATTATATCTCAGTATTTCTCAAATTGTGCCTCTAAGGAACAGAAGTGTCCATCCATAGCCTAGTGAATATCTTACTAGAAAGATGTCTCAGGCCCAATAATTGGGGCTTCCCTGTAGCTCAGACGGTAAAGAATCTGCCTGCAATGCAGGAGACCTGGGTTTGATCCCTGGATCAGGAAGATCCCCTGGAGAAGGGACTGGCAACCCACTCCTGTATCCTTGCATGAAGAATCCCATGGACAGAGGAGCCTGGCGGGCTGCAGTACACGGGGTTGCAGAGTCAGACACAACTGACCGACTATCACTTTCACTTTCTTTTCCTGCACGTTAAGATACTGAAGCCTCGGAAAAGTACTCCAGGAAAGAAATATGTTTAACCTTGATTAATTCTGAATTTCTTAAACATTTGACCATGGACATCTCTTTCAGTTTTTTTTTTTTTACCATTTTTCTTTTACTTTTATTAATATCATGTGAGACTTGAGAGTTCCATGAAACATAGTTTTCTGCTTTGACCCTATGGCCTGGGCCACAGGGTGTTGTAAAGCCTCTTGCGTCTTAAATATCTGCCTCTGTCTGAGATGCGTGACAAACGACAACCACTGAACGCTGAGTGAGGTGGTTTCCAGCTCTGCTGTGTGGGTTCGAGACCCTGCTTCTGGCAAGGAGACTGGTGTCACCAGCTCCGGATGTTCACACTCCTCTTTCTGAATAGGATTAGGGCTGACATCAGTTAACACTCACAGTTTAGTGTACACTGGCTTTTAATCCTACTTCTAAGCATTTGCTCTCATGTGAAAAACCTGGTAAGTTCTTTACCCCCTACCTACCTCAATCAGATTGAGCTGCTTTTTTGACTTCAGAGTGAGAAACACATGCAGGGAAAGCAGAACAGCTTCATTTCTCACTCTAACGCCATTAAAAACACAGTATTGTTTTTTAAGGACTTCACAACCATTAAGTTTCAGGCTTATCTACCACTTTATTCCCAGCACTTTTAGGAACTGCTGAGCCCTGTCACATTATCCTAAAAAATAAAAAAAAAAACATAGAATACTGTCTTGAAGATGGAAATGTAATTTTTAATGACTATAAAAAACAAAAGTAACTTTTTTGTTTTATATTATCCATTAAGTACATGATAGCATAAAATCAGAGAAGTAAAGCTTTAAAAGAATCTGAAATGAATTATTTTAGTTATACATGGGACATAATGCTCTTTTATTTAGAAATGAAAGATTGGGTGAAATATCAAGAATAATGTCTATGTTATTATAAGAAGATCCGCAACTTTCTTTTCTCCCATCCACTTCTACCATCCTCCCTCCTCTGGTATCTCTGAATAAGCTGGGTTGCCAGGTGTAAGGCCCATAGCTGTTGGGTCAGGTATATTTTGCTTTGCGAAATCCACCTTGACTACCCATGTTGAATTATTTTTTAATTTTACTCACTTTCCTATGCATTCTTAGGCAATAAATGAGATGAATTTCTTGCAATTAATAAATTCCTTTTACTGTGGGTAAAGCTTAGGAGTATGAAGACATGTATTTGTGTGGCTGATAAGTTTTTGGTGTTAGTCTGCAAAGCTACTTTGAAATGAACTCAACTCTACACACACTTCCTACATGATTAGTTGCCGTAAATGGTGGAAAGGACTCTTGTGTGTTTTTCCATGTTAATTTAAATGTTTCATTGCTGGTTCACAATCACTTGGGCTTATTTTTATACTTCCCATTAAATACTTTAAAATCTTCAGGTTAAAAAGTAAGTTATTTTGAATTTAAAATGCAAATAGCAGTTTCTGGAATTTAGGGGTAATATTACCCCATCATATTATCTATCATTCCTGATCTTTCACACGTTTTACTTTACTGCCTAGCTGTGATATTAGATACACTTGCTAATTTTATCCACAGGAAACTGACATTAGAAAGTTCAAGTGACACTCCCACCAAATTAGATTGTGTCCCACTCATCTGTGGCCTTGGTTTTGCTGTAGTGGCCTTTCTGCCACATTTCACCTCTGTTGTATATTCACCCACGATCTTTTCTTACTAACCAAATGGGGAAAGTCACAGCATCTAAAGAGGAATGTGGAACAAGCTGTTTATAAAAGTTCATATTCATACCTGCTGCTGTATCTTCTCAGTGAACAAAGCATGAAAGTCATGCTCTTTTTCATAACTTATTTTTTAAAAACCTCATGGATTTCACATAAATTCTTTATAATATTTATAAATTACATATATAGATTTTGCATATATAATATTTATATATTAAGTTATAGACAAATGAATATATAAGTTTATATATTCATATGAATACATATTAATATGAATATATAAATTGATCTAATTTTGAAATCAACATTTCAAAAAGCCCTCAAACTGAAACCTTGTAGAATGACTTTAATTAGTCTCCTTGAGAATCCCTATTTTGTCCCATCTTGAGCACTGGGATGTTTTTCATTGTTTAACTGGATAATCTCACATTAACTGTTGTTGCTCTGCAATGGAAATGCAATCAGTCAGTGGGGAGGAATCACCATGAGTATTAAGACACAGAATCTTGAGGAAATGACTCACCAAGCATGGAAGGTCCCTAACGGGAGGCCAGTCAAATGTCCAAATGTCTGCAGGAATTCAGGTTGTTGCTGGAAGGTCAGCCTGGGTTTTTTAATGGGGAAGTACACTAATAGAGTCTGAGAGGATAAAGGCAAATGGGGAAGCATGCAGCTGGCAGGAACCCCAAACTCTGAGAGATGACATCATCTTCCTCCTATGGAACATAAGAATGCAGTGTGGCTTTGCTGAGTTAGTCTGGGCAGAGGGCAAAATGATATAGAAGAGTAGCTATGAGACCTTTTAATGGCCAGAGCCCTGACCCTAAGGTAGAGCAGGTTTGGGTGGCAAGAAACCTCACGTAGAGCCTAAAGCAAACAGATACACACATCATGATCAGAAACCTCCTTGCAGTCAGAGCAATGTAGAAAGATGAGGGCCAGCAAAGAGAGAAGCTAACCAAATGCACTGTGTGACTGAGGCTGCTTGGGTGTAGCCCTAGACGGGAAGGGGCTCGTGGGGGTGAAGAGGGAGATGTAGCCCGGCAGTAGACACAGATATGGTTCTAGGGCTGCTTTTTACTTCATTGACTTCTACTGGGTAGATCAGCTTAAGAGGGTTGTGCTTGGTCAAAATAGATGAAGCACTTTCCACTTCCACTCCAGTTTGGTGAGTTTTGTCTCTTCTCCAAACAAAGAGTAGATTATTAATACCCTGCGGTACCTGAAGGGCTATTTATTTGTGTGCCTAGGTGGGAACCCACGAAATTACACTGGTAGATTTTGAATGTCCATTGCATTTAAAATGGAAACTCTTACCTCTGAGACAACTTCAAGTCCCAACTTGTGCTTATGCTGAAGGAAAACAATGAAAACCCCTCAACCCCTCAAAATCTGTTCATCAGGAACTTTCCAGAGTAATCTAGTGATTGACTGAAAGTGACTGACAGAAAATATATAAACATACCTCATAAAGTAATGGGTCAGGAAGGAACATGCAGAGAATAGTCCCAGACACATGGATGGTTCTACAGTAGGGAGATGTGATGTGCTTATATACATACGTTTATATGTGCACATAAAATTCTCTAGAATGTGCTCATCTCTTTAATCTTATGTTTCCAAACTTTTCCTTAAAAAAAAATAGAAAATGGTCCCAGAAGTCATGATTTTTAAGTGACAGCATTTTAATCAGGAAGCATATAGGAAGCCAAGAGTGGGCAGGGAACCATCAAAGCGCATTCCCCAAGAGAAGTCTAAAGCCCTGGTTAGTTAGCTGTCCTAGCAGGGTATCTCGGAGGAACACATTGACATCTGATTCCCGCACTTTCTGCTGTCTTTGCACCCTGCTGGGGATCCATTAGCCTGCTGCTCAATTTCTTTAGAGAAAGAAAAAACAGGAAAAAAAGAACGAAGACGAAAAACCCCAGACACCATCAAACTTTGCAGTCACTGCTGCACCAGCCTTAGGGATAAACAGAAAACCTGATGTGGCAGCATCACACTGAGCCTGTCTTTGCAATAGCAGGCTAAGTTTTTGCCCTTCATTTTCATTCTCGACTCAATCAAACTTCAGTGCACCTAGAATTTCAATGATGCACTATAAATCATTATAAATCTTCTGTCTGTTAAAGGTTGAGGGATTTAATTTTTGTTATGAACATAATCAGATTTTCAGCTCTTGATTTTGGAGTATTTGATCAACATAACAACAAAAAAAAAAGAGCTTGACCTGGCCAGGCTCTAGCTGGAATAATGATCTCCTTTTAAAGAAGATTTTGGCAAGAGTGTTGCCTCTTTGTGAGAATGTCAAGGCATTTCTGCAACAGGCAGGGCTTATGAAGTTATGGTTATAGTAACTTCTGACTTTTTTTTCTGCCTTCATTTGTCAGGGTTGATTTGGAAAATGCATTCCACCTAACGCAATTACTAACATGCTCTCTGAAAAGAAGGGAGGAAAAAAATCTTTAAAATACAGTTCAAGTTGTAGAACCTGGGAGTTAGAATTGCTAAACTGGAAAAGAGGAAGTAAGGCGCTACACCAAGACAACTTTTCTGGATACCAAGAAATGCACTTCAAAAACAACTCAGTGTTCCCCAGATGGTCCATGCCTTGTGTTCAATTTAGAAAAAAAGAAAGAAAGAAGAAGTAGTGAGCTGCAGAGTAGTTAGAACTCTCCTCTTAAAAGCCTAC